TGGTTAGCTAAGGAAGAGGGAAAACCCTCCTTTTTTTTTTTTTTTTTTTTTTATGGAGACAAGCAGCAATTAGGTAGGCTTCTAGGCCACATAGCCAGTTAGGGGTGGCAGGGTGCCCAGGTCCAGCTTTCTTAGGGTCATAGGGTGAGAGTGGGAATAAGTCACTCAAGAGTTTCTCCCAAATTGAAATGCATATCTTCCCCTGGCCAGGCAGACGGGGTCCCCTTTTCTCCATCTCTGCCACTGGGTCCCGGTGCAGGCCCTTACTCTTTCCCCCAAACCCCTGTGGCAGCCTCCTCCTGAACCTGTTTCTCCCCAGTTCTGCACCCATCAGTCCACTGCCACGTGGCAGCTACAGGGATCTTTTCAGAACACAGCCTCCTGCTGCCTCCATGTTGGCCTCCCTGACCCCATTAGAGGGATTTTCTTTTTTCTGAGACCTTATTTTTCTCTGTCACTGAGGCTGGAGCGCAGTGGTGTGATCTTGGCTCACTGCAACCTCTGTTTCCCAGGTTCAAGCAATTCTCCTGCCTCAGCCTCCCAAGTAGCTGGGACTACAGGTGCCCACCATCATGCCCAGCTAATTTTAGTATTTTTAGTAGAAATGGGGTTTTGCCATGTTGGCCAGGCTGGTCTTACTCTCCTGACCACAGGTGATCTGCCTGTCTCATCCTCCAAAAGTGTTGGGATTATAGACGTGAGCCACCACACTCGGCCAAGAGGGACTTTTCTATAACAGCCCCTAGTGTCACGATTCCCCCTTCCCAGCTCTCTCTAGCTTTTAAGATCACATAACCTGCAAAGTTCCCTGAGATCTGGTTCTGCATGAATCTTCTCTTCCCCATTGCTGCCTACCAGCTTGACTTCCCGCCTTTGGGAGTCAGATGAAGTTCACTGGACATCCCATGCCCTCTCCAAATGGCTGCACCAGCCCTGCTTCGCACCTGCTCTCTGCCTACCATCCTGTCTTTCGACTGTGCCCGGGGCATTTCCTGTGGGAAGCCTGCCAGCCCTCAGTCTGAGTCTGTAGGTCCCCAAACCTCCCCTGTCCTGATATGTGTCGCACTGGATTGTCATCACTTCTGTTTCCCCTGAGATTCATTATTCCCTGAAGGTCTTTCATGTCTGTTTCCCTGGGGCTCAGCACCTTGGCTGGCATAAAGTAAGTACCCAATAAATTTCAGATGGAGCATATGTTAAGTTCCCTATAAAACCTCAGCTGCTGCAAATTCTGCCACCGACCTGGGTGATCTCCTCTGTGGGCGCTCCTTTCGTTTTCAGACACAGGAGACTCCCAGAGATTTTTAGCAGGAAAAGGTAGACTCTTGCCTTTTAGTCTGTCAGAATGCCACTTTGTTAGATGCTTCAGAACTCCAGAAGCTTTGACTTAAGATTTTTCAGTTTGTAGCAGTTATTTTTTTTAAAAGCAGTAAAATTTCGGCGACTACGGTCTGTGCCAGAGCCTAAAGCCTCTTTCTGCATCCCGAGGAGTTCCTCTGCTTAATTGCAGTGCTGAGCTCAGGGAAGCCACACTTCCAAAAACGAAAAGGAAACCACTAAAGGAGCTGCTGCTTTTCCTTTGCAGCTCAGATAAACTGGGCCCAGTGTGGGAAGGAGGGGCCATCCTGGGGGTGCTGGCCTGTTTCTAATTGCTGCACTCTCCTCTGCCTCCACCCATGCCTTGGTGTGGTTTGGGTCCCTTCTGCCCAGAGCTACTGGGACATGTAATAAGAAGCTGCTTGTCAGACTTCTTAATTAAAACAGGTTCAGGCTGTCACTGCCAGAAAGCAGCATTCGCACCCCTGCATGTCCAAATGCATTACTCATCCAAAATAAGGTACGCCACGACTCAGGTTTCCCTCCTCAGTGACCATGGCTTGAATGGCTGCATTTAGAAACAGCCCTTACTTCAAGCCCCTGTTTCTTAATTATTTGTCATTTATTCACATTCATCCTTGTGTGTGAAACATTTTCCCCCTCACCCTATATGCTGCTGTGTAAACGAGTAATTTTTTAGGATGAGGTCAGAACCCAAAGTAGTTGGATGTTTTAAAAATGGTATTTTATGGACAGCAAGGAAAGTGGTTTTGCTTCTCGTTTCACTTGCTAGCTTTGGGATGGAGGACAGTTTATTTGAGCTCCTGCACTTCTGTGATCTTGTCTATAAAATGGGGGCAATGACTGGTGCTGTGGCTCACACTGGTAATCCCAGCACTTTGGGAGGCTGAGGAGGAAGAATCACTTGAGGCCAGGAGTTCAAGACCACCTTGGGCCACATAGTGAGACCCCCATCTCTACAAAATTTAAAAAAAAAGAAATAAAATAATAAAAATCAGCCAGGCATGGTTAGTACCCAGTTGTAGTCCCACTTACTCGGGAGGCTGATTCGGGAGGATTGCTTGAGCCTAGGAGTTCCAGGCTGCAGTGAGCTAAGATTATACCACTTCTGGGAAACAGAGCAAGACTCTTTCTTAAAAAAAAAAAAAAAAAAAAAAAAATGGAGGTGGGAGGCAATAATCTACCAGCTCAGGTATTGTGAGGATTAAGAAAGGCAGTGTCTGTGAAGAGTTTGGCCCAGTCTCTGGAACACATTTGGTAGCCAGGAAATAGTAAATGACTTCTGTGTCCCTACCCCCATCTTCACCTACTCCCCCAAGAATAACATCATAACCGACTTATTTCATCATTAAGGATTTAAATGCAAAAGCCTTAAGACAGCCAGCCCTAGTGAAACACTGAAGAATTTCTTTTTGAACACATAAAGATTGCATTCATTCATCGCTCTTCACTCCACCGGCAGTCTTCAAGTTCTGGTTAGCAGAGTCCGCGGGCACAGGGAGGGTCTGAATCCTGGGGGTGTATGCTTTGCTCCCAGAAGGACATGGGTATGGAAGGTCTATTCCTGATATCTGGAGTTGAAGAGGAGTTTTCTGGAAATAATTTGTCCAGTGGCTCCCCCATCACTCTCTTGGAGAAGTCCTGTATTTTATTTATGTTGAATGGCTGAATCTATTCCCAGCTGAATGCTTTCCTGAATATCAGTATAAATCATCTGCCAGTCACTCAGGCTCCCACCCTGGGGGTCATCTGTCCTCTTTGCCTGGTCTCCCACGCCCCACAGCTCAGCACCCACAGGACGGCCATATCTGCCTTCCCTGCACTTGCCACTCCACTTCATCTCGGCCATCTCCTCTCCAGGGCTGCTATGGGAGATTCCCAGTCTGTCCTCCAGTGTCTCTGCATGCGTTCTACTCACCCCCAGGGCCCCGAGGAACTCTGAAGAAACACAAGCCTCTGTGGCCCCATACACTTGGAACTACCACCACTCCCTTCTTGGAGACAGTGGCAGTAAAAATAGAAACAAACAAAACGGAGTAAAATCCTCTTTGACTTTGTTTAACTGGATGCTCCCCCCAGTCTATTTAATTTCAGACTCCTGTTTACCCGACTCCTAGGGAACTGAGCTTCACAGGCCCAATCTGGGCGAATGCTGCTACAGTTTGTGGATGGGCTGCTCCCCATTTGCCTGTTCGGGTGGCTCTGAGCCCAAACATTGGTCAGCAAGGGCATCCATACAGTGACATGCTGTATGTCATAAAAAAGGAGGTGGTCCTGACATAGACAGTGTCCAGCACATATGTTAAGTGACAGAGGCAAAGTGCAGCTTGTGAGATGAGCCACCACGTGCTGCCGACGCTTGGACTGCGTGGATACCCAAGTGCCCCGAAAAAATAGGCAGGCACGGCTGCCTCTGGGGAAAGGGGCTGAGTGTCGGGGAGGGGCGGGAGCAAACTCCTCTCTTTGTGCCTCCTGGGGCCTTTAGAACCTCTACTTTTTTGAACGCAGTGCTACTCTGCTCCAGACTCCCCCAGACTTCACACACAGAGTAGTAGGAAGTCCTTGGTTCTGCCCTTGTGGCCCTGAGGTTGGCCTCGGTCTGCCTGCCTGCTTCTCTTCTCAGTCTTCCCCGCTGCCACTCTCCCCTCTCTCCCCTTTGACACTTCTCAGACTGGCCCTGCTCCACTTGGAGGTCCTTGGAGCAGCCCACACCCATTGCTACCGAGTTCACTGTGTCAGAATGTGGGACCACCTACCAGCTTTACTCCCCCCTCTAACTCTAACTTGTGAGATGGTGGGGGCCAGAGTCCCCAGGAGGCAGTGACACTCTGCAGAAAGGCCGAGAGCTCCAGGGCTGAACAGATGTGACTGAAAATCTTTACCAGCCATGTGCCCTGGGGAACTGAGCCCTGAATTTCACTTTTCCTTTTCTGCACAGTGGAGGATAACACGCCTTCGCTCACAGGGTGTGGGTGTGTTTCTCATCTCCCTGCAGCACCTAGCACAGTCCCTGGCACCTCGTATGCTCAGGGCATGCTTGCTGTCTTTCCTTCCTTTCCCGTCTTTTCCTTTCCTTTCCCTTGCTATCTATCCTTCCTTCCTTTCAATCTACTGTTCATTCCCTTGGGGCTTGAGATTCTTGGATTCCAGAGGAAAGAACACAGGGCCTAGTGTCAGACTCTCATCCCTGGCTCCACTGATGCCTACCTCTGGGATGGCACTCAGTCTTCAGGTCCCCTCTGCCCTAACACAAAATGCATATTTGTCTCATTGCAAAAGCAATTGGATCATCAAAACACTGAGTGCAAAGGGTTAGCAGAGTGAGCGCAGATGCTGTCCCGTTTGCCCACTGGTTTCTAAGAATATTTGGAGGATGAGTAAAGTAATGTCTTCCATATGCTCAAGAGAAGATGATTTAGCACCATGCAAGGTAGAGGAGGAGAGCCCCCACCCGTCAACAGAGTGACCTTGGACAAGACACTAACGGCCCTACGCCTCAGTTATCTCATCTAAAATATGAAAGTCATAAAATCCTACCTCACAAGGGGGATTGTGAGGATCATATGAGGCAATTCATGTGGAAGGTCTTTGTAAACTGTGAAATGCTCTGCCACCGTCAGCCAGGATTAGTAGTTAATGCATGTATTTGTTTATTGTTTCAGCGGAGGGTGCAGGACGTCATCAGCCCGATCGTGTTCGAAGCAGCCTACAGCCTCGGTGAGCATGTGACTGGAGAGGAGGAGAGGGAACTGCCGCCTCTGACACCGGTTCTCCGCTGGAAAAAGGGACAGAAGATTGCCCAGAAGAATCAGGTCAGAACCTTAAAGCTCATACCCAGTACCCAAGGTGGCAGCTGCACACAGCAGAAACACTGGCCCAGAAGCCGAGAGAGCCATGGGCCTGGCCGCCTGGGGGACCACGGCCAGGGCACACCTCCTCTCTGGGTCTCCCTTTTCTGAGCTGCAAAATGATAAAATAAATGATTTTAGGGGTTACTTGTGACTACTGTGGGACTTGAGCACTTGCAGACAGTTCTCAAGCTGTGAGAAGTTATTAACCCTTTGAGGTCATGAACTGTCTGCCACTTGGTGCCTGAAGTTGCCCCTATGCCTAGATTGTTTTCAGAGCTTGGAACTGGCAGGATAGTAGGTGCTTCATGAATGTTTTATTGGTGGGAGAATGAGTGAGGTGAAGGAGCGAGAATGGTAGCTTGCTGAATGGGCAGTTGAATTACAGAATGCCCAACCCAAGAGTCCCTGGAAACCAGAGCACTGGGGCAAGGTGGGTGGCACACACTCATCGGATTCTGGGATGTGCTGCTGTGTAGAGAAGCTTTAGCGCGATGTTGGCTGCACGGCTCGTATGAGGCACGAGTGAGCCTGTGCCTGATTCTATGCAGCAGCACTGGCCAGCTCTGAGGCCTGCAACACTGAGTGCAGTGCAGGAAATATGCAAGGAATCTGCAGTCCCAAGTCTGTTTCAGATCTTTTCCTGAAACCCAAGATCACCATGGATTCAGAAACCTGGGAAGGTCAGGAAAAACTGTGGGCTAACCCAGCCTCCTAGGCAGAGTAGGGGCAAAGCTGTGGAACCACCTTTTTGAGAGCTTCAGACCATTCTGAGTGTAGGGGAAAACTAGCAGACTGTGACCCATGCCTTGTAGATTAGAGTTGTAAGCTGAACCACTGAGAAGTGTTTGGAGTCTGAGATGTCCATCTGGGTGTTCACGTAAGCGCTGAGATTTTTACAAGGCATCCCATTTTCTCCCAAAGCCTCTTCCCCATCATCGTAAGTGGGATTCCGTAGGAGCAGAGCCTGAGACAGTAATTTGGAAGCACTTGGTCTAATGATACTGTGCTTTTAGGGAAAACCTGTAAAGGAAAGGCAGGGGGCTGAACACGGTTGTGGTCTCAGCTACAGTCTGGCAGAGGGACTCTGGAACAAAAAATACACCAAAGAGTTGTCTTCGCCTTGAGGCAAGAGGGCTGGCCTTTTGTGCCCCACATCATTCAGTCTTTGACTGGCCCTGGGATGGAAGGGGAGTGTAACCCTCCTTGAAAGGGATCCTTTCAGCTGAGGATGGTTCTCTAGAGGAATGCTGATGTGAGCTGTAAGCAGCCGACATGCACATCAGCCGGGGGAAGGGCCACAGTTAACTGTGCCCACTACACATCAGCACACATTCTCTGGGGAATGCTGCCAAGAGATTTTGGTTTGAAACATGAACCTTCTGTCACAACACAAGTTCCCCAGGAGAGTGGCCTGTAAGTCCTGCTGGCCACTGATACTTGGAACAGGCCCTGGGGGAGTGAGGGAGGACACATGGTTCTAAGTGGGTGGGCAGAGTAGACAGCCTGGCCTTAGGCTGAGGCGTGGAGAAGGCAAGAGAAGAGCAGAAGATAAGATGAAGAGGCTCTGCAGGAAGCTGAGGCTTCTGCCTCCACTGGGAAATACTCCTTCTGACAGTGAAGCAGGGAGAAGAGGTTGGCCTGGGGACACAGTAAAGTGTGGTATTGCGGTAACGCCTAGATAATTGGTCGCTAGTCCTAGAATTATTCTGCTTTCTGAGGTCAAATCTTACTGAACTGATAAACTTACCCATACTTGTGTAACAAAAGTTACCCAGACTTGGGGTCCTGGGAAGCATTTCAGGGTCCTCTGTGCTTGTTTGTATCTGAACTGACCCAGTGAGGTCCAGCATTTTGCTAGCCTAGATGTGCTTTCCACAATGAACCTCTCATTCCTGCAAGTTTGTTAGTGGCACAGATGTGGACCTTCTTTAGTGAAAAGTATCTTGGAACTTTTACTGACATTTTTAGATTCAAGCAGCCAATCAAAGCCAGAGATGGAGGGACTGATTAGTATCAAAGTGATGTTCTTGGTCACTTCTGGCTCAAGATGGCCAACCAGGCATAAATGTTGATGTCTGTGCCTTCTGAGACCCCATTGCAATGATTATAAATGAGAGGATTGGAACAGGGAGGACAACACTGTGAAAGAAAGGGCATCGGCTAATAAAAGAGTCCAGGAATTCTTTGGTATGCGTGAAGTAAACGTAAGAGTGTTAGTGGGTGAACCTGAACTGTACATAGAAGGACTGGGTGCCTGCCTACTCAGGGAGCATGGATGCTGCAGCCACAGCCAGACCAACAGTTACGGGGCGGGGCGGGAGGTGGGCAAGAGTAAGAAGTGGGGCTGAAAGTGGTGGTGGTAGTGGGGGAGGCCAGTGAAATGTGAACGTTGGTATGAAGAAGGGTTAGAGTTGACTTTTCACCCTCGTTCCCGCCCCTACATGCTTTAGGCATGCAGGATAGCAAGCAGCCAGGCATCGTCTTCCCTAAAGATTTGGATAAACTGCTTAAGATTATGTGGGCGGGCTAGTTCTCAGAGAAAAGAAAGCCTGCCTTCTAGCATTTGAAGTCAGCAACATTGAGAGCCAGCTTTCTCTCCCACAGTCCACCCAAACACATTCACAGATTTTCTACTCAGTCCTTTTGCCTTAGTTTGAAATATGAATGGACAACCAAGGAAATCCAAGGTTGAGGAAAATTTGTTGCACGAAAGGAAAGACTAAAATAAACCAGTAGAATAACTCGAAAGGAAACAAATGATTCAGGGAGTATAAGAGATTATTTAAAAAAAAATTTTAAGACACAACAGCTTAAAGTCTATGCTGTAGACATAAGGAGATTTAGGAATATATTCCATTCTTTTTATTTTCTAATGGATGGGATTCTGTTCCTTTTTAAAGGGAGGAATGAAAAAGGGAAGGGCTCTTAAAAATTAAACATGTATTTGCAGCACCAAAAACTCAGTGGAAGGATTAGAAGATAATGGTAAAGAATTTTCCAATGGAAGTGCTAAAAGACAAGTAGAAAAGAAAACAAAAGAATAAATTCACAAGGTCCTGTGTCTCCAGCTAGTAAGAATACCAGAAAAAGTTAACAGACAAAATTATGTGATAATAGAATAGCATGTTTCAGAGTTAAAGAGAGAGACTGTTTTTTAAAATTGGTGAAAACAACAATTTGCAGTCAAGATAAACCAAAATTATCATAGACACATCATTTTGAAATGTCAGTGCTCCAAAGACAAAGGGAACATTCTAAATATTTCCAGGGCAAGGAATGCAGGATGATGATGGCGGAGGATAAGTCAGCTTACAACAGAATGAAAGACTGAGCAGTTCGTTAGACTCTTTATTAGCAAGATTAGAAACTAAAGTATGGTGAAATAAAGGCTTCAATGTTCTGAGGGAGAGTGATTTTGAAATTAGAATTTTGTGTTCAGCCACACAATCAGAGTATGAGGTAAAAATAAAGTCACTTTTCAGATAAGCAAGGACCCAGCAAGTTTACCTCCCTAGTAACCCATCCTTCCAAGGAAATTACCTTGTACTTCAACAAAACCAGGTTGACAGACAGCAGGAGAAAGATGTGGGATACAAGAAGCTGTGGAACTAAGTCCCCGAAGTCTAATGACAAGAAATTCCAGGATGATAACTGCAGCAAGTCTCAGAAGCAGCCACGTCAATTGAGAAGAGGAGATTAATTAACTTTCAGACGAATAAAGCCAAGCAGTAGAATGATGAGAAAGTGGCAAATATTCAGGATACAGTGCAGGTCGAATATGTTTCTTTTATGGATAAGAAAAAATAAAGGCAACCACGACCTCTCAGAAAAATAGAAATAAGATAATTATCTGTACAGGTGCTCCTTGACTCACGATGGAGTTATGTCCCAATAAATCCATCATCAGTTAAAAATATTGTCAGTTGAAAATGTATGTAATACACCTAACCTGCTGACTATCATCGGCTAGCCTACCGTAAACATGCTTGGAACACTTACATTAGCCTACAGTTGGGCAAAAGTCATCTAACACAAAGCTTATTTTACTATAAAGTGTTGAATATCTCCTGTCATTTATTGAATACTATACTGAAAGTGGAAAAGGGTTTTATGGGTACTCAGGATTAACACACACAGCTGAAAGCACACTGGGCCTAAAGAATATTTGAACTAAAATTAACTGCTGGATGATGGGGTTACTACAGTAACAGGGTCATCCATTTCTCTCTCTTCTGCTGAGTCTCAAGAATAGCTAGTAGAAGCCACTGGGATATTGACACTTGTTGATGGCTTAGCAGGCGTGGTGTTCTGTAGAAAGGTATCAGTTGTTCACCCTTGCGATCCTGTAACTGGGATCTGCAGCTCACTGCCACCACCCAGCATCACAAGAAGCATCGTACCACATATTGCTAGCCTGGGAAAACTTTTGAAAGAAAAAATGTGAAGTATGGCTTCCACTGAATGCATACCACCTTCACACCATTGTGAAATCAACAAATTATAGAGTGAACCATTGTAAGTTGGGTTAAAATGGTATGTCATGTTAAAATAGAAAACATACATGTCTGTATGTCATGGTTAAAATATAAAACAAATTAAAATGTGGTGACAAAATAACCAGTTATAACTATCAGATGTTTTTTGTAAGCCTCATGGTAACCACAAGGCAAAAACCTATAGTGTATACAGAAAAATAATAATAAAGCAAAGAATCAAACCAAACCACTAGAGAAAATCACTTGACCACAAGCAAGAAAGGAGGAAAGGAAAGGAACAACGGATCTGCAAAACAACTAGAAAACAACACAGTTGTGTAGTAAGTTCTTACTGTCAATAATTATCTTGAATGTAAATGGATTGAACTCTCCAATTAAAAGACATGGAGTGGTTAAATGGATTTAAAAAAAACCAAGACCTAACTATATGCTGCTTATAAGAGACTCACTTCACCCGTAAGGACA